TCCTGAGATCTCCTCGGATCCGAGCAGTTCTCTCAATTCGTTGTGAATCGTCTTGACTTTTAGATCTTAGTCGTTCCCATAGACGGCGCCAATTGTTAATGCAGGAATTTGGCCTCTTGGGATTCTGCCAAATTCGCACCAATCTTCTAGAATAAAGGGATCAATGAGACCTGTAAAACAGAATAGCGCTAAGACCGGCATGATTTTTGCCACACGGGCTCCGATGCTTAAGTTAGGATTGGAGTGGTTGAATATAAAGTGTAGGGTATTGTGAGCATACCTCTAGGATTTGGTCTCTTATCTTATTTAAGGGATTTCTCTCGATATCTTTGTGGAGATCTTATCTACTGGGCTTGCCCCACTCTTGGTCGATCAGGGTGCCGAATCCGTGGCCCGTTTTGGCTGGGCTATGTAAAATGGTTGAAGAGAACTGATAGGAATTTTCGACCCACAATCGAGAACTGCTCGGCACCGAGCAAGGGTCTGCGTCGAGCCTTGGTCGGCCCAACTGATCTGGGTCTTTTGTCCTCTGCTTGATCGATTCGTGTAGTTGGACCCTTTTATATTCAACCCAAGTTCATCTTCTTATCCTTTTGTCGAGTCTCATTTATTTAGCCCATAACAACATGATTTCACTTTTGATTTTATTTAAAATAAATATATTTCTTAATTTTTACATTTAATATAATTATAGATATTTGATCCACTAAATTATACTTAAATTCAACAATATAGAGGGGATGTTCACGTCCTCTACATTATGCCAAAATTCTCTTTTTCTTTGCCCGACCGATATGAAAAACTAGTCTTTTACACGTGTCACGCACGTGATATCTCCACTTTTTTTTTTACTTATATAGTAAATTTAATAGGAAACTTATCAATTTATATTGAAAATTAAAATTTTTGTAAGAATTAAATTAATGAATTCTAACCATACATATATATTTGAAGAATAAAAATAACAACAAAATTATTTATAAAATATATATTTTTAATTATATCCATATATAAGAGGACAAGACAAAGTTTTGTTTATTATTAATTATAATTAAGGACAATTATTTATTAATTTGATATAATTTTAAAATAAAAATTAATTTACATATTTTTAATTTGAAATAAAATATCAATATTTTATTAAACTTTAAGCATTCATAAACGTGATAAGATAATTTAATTAAAAATAAAATTTAAAAATTTAAAAGCGTACATAAAATTTTAAAATATATAATAATTTTAACATTACCTCTCTTTAATGTTTTAGATTGCCTAACAATAATAACTATGATTTTTTTTTCTTTTTTCACCTCAAAACACATTTTTTTATTTAATACATATAGGAAATAAGGGATTATTTATATTTAGAAATTAAATAAGAAAAGAAGAGAAAGAGGTGAAAGAGAAGTTGGGAGATAAAAATTGTGGTAACAAAAAAAAAGAAAAAGGAACAAAACAAAAACAAAAAGCGCATTTTAAAAAACAACCAAAAATATTAGATATAGTTATGTAATGTTTGATTGTAAGTTATTTTAGCATATACAATAAAAAAACGTGCATCATAATTATGGAAAGATGAACCTTCAAAATTAAACAAACTCAATTCAATTTTTTTTTTAAACAAAAGAATTTTATTCAATTCAAATTAAAGATTAAACAAACAATTCAAAATTGAACTAACCTAACCTACCTAACAATTAAAATTATATTATTTCAAATCAAACCAAAAATTAGTAGTTAATTTGACTATTATATTTTGTAATTTCAAAGGGCTAGAAACACAATAATAACATTTTTAGGTTATTAGAAAAATAATCAAGAACATTTTAATGGCCAGCTAAAAGAGAGTTAGATTCTAAAAATTAGTAATGGATGTAATTTGAATTTTATATTTATACACCATTGTTATCCTTGCAAAATAATAATAATAGTGATATAAAAAATAAAACTAATTATATAAATAATAAAACAATTTTAATTTTATATCTAAAAATAATAATTAAGAACATATAAACAAATTGAGAAAAATTCAAATAATCGATTTCTTAGGGGAGGAAGAGGAAAATTGAGAGTGTTGATTTTCTTACAATTTAGGAAGCGAAGAATGAGGACGACCACCCCCTGAAGATACCTTCATCGAACAATTGCAAAGGGAGATGACGGTTTTCTAAATCTTTCATCTCTTCATTATGAATCGCAGACAAAATTTTGCTTATTGTCAAATTGCATAGTAGATAGTCAGAAGAGAATAAGAACATTACCTTTTTTCATGTTCGAATCCAGAATTGAGAGTGATGACAGTGAAAGAGGCCGACCGGCATAATCTTTGCCAGAGAGAGTTTGAGAAATATATATAAAAATTGAAGTGCTATTCTGCTCATTGTGTCATAGAAATACAGGAAGTTTTTTTTAGGAATAATTATATTTTAAAGTAGGTGTGTGTGGTGTGACAGTTTACATGAATTGGAAGCTATGTGGCTTTGAATGGAGGGAGGGGATGAAAGAAACATATTTATTGCTCCAAAAATTGAAAATGAATCATCAATTTTATTGATTGTTTTTTCTTATCAATTTAATTTTTATTTCAAATGAGTTTAGAATTTTGGGTATTAAAGACAAATGAGTGTGAATTAATTGTTAGATTCAAGCGTTTTAAGAAACAAAAACCAAAATTCAATAATAGAATGTTAGAGATTTAGGGAGTAATCGATCAAATTTTTGTTTTTTTTTTTTTGAGAAATGAGTAATTGATCAACATTAAAAAGTATATTTCTCCATTATAATTAAATAATTTACGTGAAAGGGAAAACGAGAGATTTTAAGATTAATTATTTTAATTTTATGTTTGGTAACGAAAGGATAAATTAGATATTAAACGAAATAGTGAATGATATAATCGTCAAAAAATATTTCTCCACATATGTATTTTTCTTTAATATATTATAGATATAGATTATAGATAGATAGTAGTAATGGGAAAATGATGGAAAAACAAAGTATTTGTTTTCTTTTTTTTTTTTCACATGTTTTCTTTCTTTTTTGAGAAAATGGAAAAACAAAGTTTTGGTTAAATCTTAGCTGTATTCCACAACATTTCGTCACCATCAAATACAGCCAATCACGTGGCGCCAGCTGTATGTGACATGCCCTCTTTGTACGAGGACACGGTGGCAGCGGTTCTGACTCGAAGTCAAACCAAGGTTACTACCAAATTATATTATAATAATTTATATTATGGATCACTAGAAAAATTTGTTTACGCGTCAAAATTTATTTATGGATCAGTTTCTTCCGAGTACAATTTGAGAACTATTTATTTGTGACCCTATTTTTACCTCTATGGAACAATACCAACATTTTCAACTATATTGATCGTATGAAATATATGTCGAGATGTCTATATTCATAAATTCGATATTGACGTGAGAGATTTCGACATTTCTATAATATTACAAAAAAAAGATAAAATATGAAAAATATCAATAAAATTTCTCTAATATTAATATCAATCATTTTTAACTTATTTAGAAATGATGAAACGATTATTTGTTAATTTAAATATTTTTCTCAAGTTTTTTTATAACTTTTTTAAAAATATTCACCGATACTAACAATTTGTCGATATTTTCATCGACATTTTTATGAAATTAAGAACTTAATATTATCATCAATATTGATATTTAAAACTTTGATTATAATAAAAAAATGATAATTTTTTTTAATTAGCCTTCAACAACTACATTAAAATGGAGATTAAAATGGAGAGTTCAGGATCAAATCCTCCCCATTTTAATGCAGTCGTTGACCCTCTAACTTATTAGGAGAATATACTAAATTTTATTTTATTAATTTAGATATAAAGAAAAGAGTTTTAGCTACATGTATTAAAATAGAGTTGCAAGCTTCAAAATGATTGTCAATGGAGACATATTAATAACTAATACAATTGATTCGAAAAAAAAAAAAACTAATACCATCGCAAATGCATCTTATAAATAAAAAGAAGATTATTTGTAATTCACTTGTCCTGGCTCAACTAACAAAATTCAATTCTTCTATACTTTCATTTTTTGGTTCATTTTGTATTTTCAAATTTTTTTTTTTTTATTTTAGTTGTGGTACTTTCAAAACCTCCATTTTGGTCAATCTACTATAAAAGAGCAACCATTTTAGTTCCTTCATTCTCATTTTTATGTCATTTATTTCAATCAAAATTTTAACACAATAATCAAACTCATTAAATTTCTTGAAATGTAGTTACAAACGTGTATTAAAATGTTTCCACTATGTATAAATTTTGTGTTAAAATTTTATAAAGAGTGACAAAGTCACAATTTTTTTTAAAGTACAAAGATCAAAGACCAAAACATATGTTTTAAAAATATTGAGACTAAAATAAACATTTTGAAAGTAATCATAATGAACCAAAGTTAAAAAATACATGGATTAAAAATAGTATTTAAATTCTGAAAAAACATATTTATAATTTTACATCATTGTAAAATAATGTTATTATTAAAGAAAATAGCAAGAAAATAGATGGGGTTTTTTTCATATGAAAGAAAGATAGAGAATAATTTCATATATTTCCATTTTCTCTGCTTGTTAGTCTGGATCATGGTATAAAATATTCATGGAAGGTATAAATTTCCATTAACATTTCTATCCACGGGGAAGATAAATCGATACCTCCGACAAAATATAAAACATATCAACATGTCGTTAATATGGACAAAATATTAATATCAATCAATTTTAACTTATCTAAGAAATGTGAAAGGTTAAGTTATATATTTTTTATAGTTTTTTTATTTTTATAAATTCTTTATAAATATTATTACATCGACATTTTATCCATATTTTTATGGGTATTTCCATGAAATTGAAATCTCAATATTTCTACACATTTAGAATCAATTAGAAACTTGTTTTTTTTTTCTTTATATTTTCTTTAACAAAAATAATAATCTTATTTTATTGGGCCGTTAAGTCAAAAAACTACGCATATAAATTAGAAGAACCGTTCCCGCATCTTTCGCCAGCGTGCAATTTCCCTCCATTTGGTTCAACTTCCTCTGTTTTCCATTTCTGCTGTTTCTTCATTCCTCATTCTAATCTGGCTGGAATCTCGATCCTTTCATTTCCTTTCAATTCTCTCCTCGCTATCGGTTTCTCTTCCTCGGAAAGCCCTCCTGCATCATTCCGCCTCTGTTTTTATCTGTTTTCTGCTTTCTGAATCCAGGTACGGAATTTTCTGCAACAATCATGGTAGTTTTCGATTGGTTTTTGTTGTTGTCGTCGTTTTAATTTCATACTTGTGTGTTTGCATGAGAGAGTTGTTTAATTTATTGCTTGAACTTTATTCCGACTTGGCGTAGCTGAAAAGAAAACGAGCTTCTTAGTTCCTTATAACGTAAGATTTCCGTTGAATTTGGGGACGGTTGGAAATTTTGAAGTTTCTGATTTATAGAATTTTGGCGACTGTTTAATGGACTGATCCCCTGGATGTTTTATTGGAGGATAACGAGCTTGTATCGGTTTGATTAATGAAGTTTGATTGGGCCCTGTATTTGGTTAATGAAGTCTTGTTCAACACAGAAACTTCAGACCTCTTTTCACAGAGAGAACTGTTTATGGAGAGTAGAAGATTTAGAAGACGAAGACTTACCTACTTTAGTATTAATTTTGATGATCAAAATGATATTCCTCTTCACGATCTGCTTTTCCCCTCAATGTGTGTTTAATGCAATATATTAAATGCTGGGGCTTTTTTTAGGCACTTTTTAGCACATGAGAGCAGTTTTTCCAGAGATTTTGATTATATGAGATAGAAGATAAATTATTCATCAACATTAATTCCATTTATTGTTGCAGAAATAATGTTTTAAGCCAATATGACTGTTAATTGTCCGTTAACAACTACTTATTCCCCATGCCCCTCCCCCTTATAGGGTTCCGCAGGTGATGCAGTCTCATGATATAGCAATTGTCTGCGTTCGGTGAGACAAGAAACTTAACTATTTCCACATCATGATGAAGCCATGATATGTTCTTCTACTAGTCTTTCATGAATTGATGAGGATGAAAACGTTGCTGCAATGAAATGAGTAAACTATTGCAGCGTTTTTGTCTATACGTAATGGGAGAAATTTTTAGGGTCTCCACAAGTTCTAAAATTGATTGGACAAAAGTATGTCTTCTTAGCGCCATTTTGACAGTTGGTGGCATTGGACTTCAAATGTTGATACTTCCTTATCCATTGCACACCTGGTTCAATCCACCAGCAACGGTTACATTATATGGATCCATAAAGGAATCCAATATGCAGTTGAGTGAGACCCACCATTATAGTACTAAAGAGTTCCAATTGATACCATCCAGCTCTGTTATCTCACATAATGCTTCCGATCGAGTGATTCAATCAGTATCAGTGAATAGAGAGAGAGAGACAGCTCCTAAAAGAATAAAATCATCTAGAAGAAGGAAGCATGCCAAATTGAAAGAGAAGCCAATTGTTATGCCTCCTCCTCCCCCACCCAGGAGACCGCCCACTGCATTGGAGGTATAGGAATTTGGAAAATTCCTTTTGTTTTAATGATTAGTAATTTTTTAAAACCTTCTTATGACCATGTTATGTATGTAGTACAGAGATATGTTTGGTCCTTGAAGCCTGTGGAAGCACTCGCCTATGCAAAGGAGGAGATTAAGCATGCTCCAGCAGTTATAGATGATGCTGATCTCTATTCCCCTTTGTTCTTGAATGTATCTATTTTCAAAAGGTATTTGGATCTATCACTACTTTGATTTTAACTTAATTGTGTAAGTTACTCATTAATGATATAATTTAACTATTTTGTGATGCCTGAATATGGATATCTCTTTTATTTTGAGAGAACATATCAATAGTGATTCACATATTATATGGAAAAAGTCGAGAAGTTATGTCTAATTTCTTGGAAGCATGTACGACACACAGAATGAGGAGAATGTTTCCAGTAAAGTCCATATTATTCGTTTGTTTCTTGAATATCATACGCCTCTGGATTTTGTTTAGTCTCTTATATGGCATTCCTTCTCATTATTTGGTGTCTTCAATTGATTCCATTACATATTCCCTAAATTTCAGGAGTTATGAACTGATGGAATTGATACTCAAAGTCTACATTTACCGAGATGGATCTAGACCAATCTTTCATACTCCCCATCTGAGAGGAATTTATGCTTCTGAAGGTTGGTTTATGAAGTTCATGGAGGAAAACAGGCAGTTCGTCACCAAGGACCCAGAAAAGGCCCACTTATTTTATCTTGCATATAGTTCACGCCAGCTGCAAACGGCTCTTTATGTGCCTGATTCTCATAATATGAAACCATTGTCAATATACCTGAGGAACCATGTGAATTGGATTGCTGGAAAATATCCATTTTGGAACCGCACACAAGGGTCTGATCATTTCCTTGTTGCTTGCCATGATTGGGTGAGAAGCCTATTTCTCTATCTCAGATATTCTTATGTTCCATATTGAATTAGACTATGTTCCTTATCGTTAAAGTTCACATATAAATCAGTTTCAGGCACCAGCTAATTCTCTGGTACAATTTCTTTATGGATTCATGGAGGATACTCTTTCCAAATTGAAGGGGGAAAAGTGTTATAATTTTCTACTGACGTTTCTGTTTCATTAATGTCTTCTTACTGAATCTCAAAGATTACTGAAGCCACTACTCTCATGGTAATCCATTTCTTTCTTTCTGATGTGCTATATATAAACTTTCTGCAGGGCCCTTACACTGTCAATGAACATGAAGAACTAAGCCAGAACACCATAAAAGCTTTATGCAATGCTGACCTCTCAGAAGGAATCTTCAAAATGGGCAAGGATATTTCCTTGCCAGAAACAACTATAAGGACACCTAGGAAGCCTCTTAGGAATGTTGGTGGGAAAAGGGTATCACAGCGTCCAATTCTTGCCTTCTTTGCCGGGAACATGCATGGGAGAGTCCGTCCAATACTTCTGAGGCATTGGAGTGACAAAGATGACGATATTAGAGTTTATGGACCTTTGCCACTTAGAGTCTCCCGTAAGATGACATACATACAACACATGAAGTCAAGCAAATACTGCATATGCCCAATGGGATATGAAGTGAACAGCCCAAGGATAATCGAGGCCATTTATTATGAATGTGTTCCAGTGATTATTGCTGATAATTTTGTGCTTCCTTTTAGTGAAGTGCTTAACTGGAGCGAGTTCTCTGTGGTTGTGGCAGAAAAGGATATTCCCAAGCTGAAGGAGATCCTATTGGCTATCCCACTGAAGAGATATCTTACTATGCAGATAAATGTGAAGATGGTTCAGAAGCACTTTCTTTGGAACCCAAAACCCCTCAAATATGATCTGTTCCACATGGTTCTGCACTCAGTTTGGTTTAGTAGACTAAATCGGTTCCAAATCCCAGAGACATAATATAATACCTTTTGGACCTGCTGATTTGAATGAAGAACTTCCTGGATAGAACATAAAGTCTTTACAGGGTTGGAGTAATTTGTTGTACAGTGGGATGAAAGTTGTTGCCTCCATATATCTTTATCATGATAGTAGATGCAACCACCTAATGGAAAGAAATGGCAACTTTGGAGTCCATGGAAGCAGGTATGTCATGGATAGGTACGTAGCTTTGCTTTCTGAAATGCTATTTATTTCTGTTGCTTGTTGAATCACTTTTAGCTGCTTTATTTGGAGTAGTAGTTTGAGGTGCTTTCGTCAAAGCACTTCTATTTAAATATTTTAACAAAAAAACGATTCATTAAACCACTTTGTAATTTGGTTTTGACTTAACTAATGTTTCTAGAAATTGATGTACTACTTAAATGAAAACAACTAAAGTAAGAGGAAAGAGACATTAGTGAGAAAAAGCATGTGTGCAAAGAGAAAAGGTGAATGTCATTCTTTTTTAATAATATTTAAGTGTTTATCGGTAAGTACGTATCTTTCTGCTTATAATTATTAAAAATTGACAGCTATTTATTTCGTTTTTCCCTCTTCTTTTATGCATTCATCTATTACGAATATCAATTTTTTTAACAGAGATATGTATGAGATATTTAGCGTAAGTACCTAAATATTATTATTCATTTTTTTTCTTCAGCACTTCCTAGTAGTCCATAGATTGGGAGTTTCTCAAACTTCATAAATTTTAGGGAATAGTGAAGTTGTGTGTTCCATCTCCATGGCAGGAAAAGGGGATTTTGCTGCTTGATATGTAAATGCTGCAGCACACAGAAAACTTTATATTGTTGAAGGCAATTACACAACGCCATACGCTAGTCCAAAGTAGAACTTGTAAGTGAGGATTCTCTTGGTGAATAAATTTGAAAGAACAAATTATTGTATATTGTATCAGCTGGTGCAGTAAATTATCGTAGGTAATTCTCTTGGTGAATAAATTTGAAAGAACAATTGTTGTAAATTGGATATATTGGTGCAATAAATAAAATAAATGCTAAAATGGGGACTATCAACTACATCTGAAACCTTTCAATTATTATAACAATTTTGGAAAACTTGCTCATGGTAGATGTTGACGAAAACAACATGCACTCCATATTTTGATGATTAGGAATTTTGTTGTTTCGATGATTAGTTACTAATCCTCACTAAAAATTTGAYAGATATTTACTTTTGTAGCCTTCTATCAAAAAAGTGTAAAAAAAAATAAAATTATTCAAACATATGTTTACCTAATTTTCCTTTTGAAGAAAAGAAAAAAATGTTTTAAACATCAATCCTGACACTCTTAATGGTAAGGCCAAAATATCTACTCATTTTGAACTTTCCATCCGTTTTGTGCTTTTTCTAAAATTTGAATTTAAGAAAATGAGTTTCTTTTAACTTGGTAGCATCTATGTTTATAAACTCAACAATCTGTTGCCATTGATACAGATTCTGATATTAGCATCCAAACTATTCAACCTGAATATTATTATGACTGCAACAATGAGAAACCTTATTCTTCTCACCACTAAATGTTTGACAATTAAAAGAGAGAATTACAAAATCATAAACTTTATTATTTTTTGTCAAAATGGTGTTCCTCCTCAGATAAATATTTTCCTTCGTTTAATTCTTATACTTTCAGAACATATATTTTAATTATTGTCATTTTAATCTTTATATTGTCAAAATATTCATTTGGATCAGTGTACTCTTAAAAGGTCGTATTCTCCCAGAAGAAAAGAGAAGATAGAAACTTTAATTGATCATCAACAATTCGATTAAGAATAATGCTAAACCATACAGCAGTATAAAATACCAATCTCAATCCATGCTTTTATTACAATTATCAAGGGCATAACAATTCAGCACAGCGTCCCCTCTTCATAGCCTTGCATTTCGGAGCTGCTGCTTAAGCAACGGTTTGATATATTCATGGTAGCCATCCGGTGTGGCGGAGTCGTTCAGAGGATCCTTCCATGCTGCCTCGTAGAGATTTGGGTAAACATTCCCATCATAGCGGCCAAGGATTGAGCCGAGGTAATGGTCGGTGTAGTTAAACGCATCGACTAAGGCAATTGCGTTAGGCCGAACCTACAAAGGAAAATTCCGACGTCAGGGTTAGCAATCAGAAGGCCAAGAAGGAGAAGAAAGTGATTGAGTTCAAACCTGGGAATATAGAGATCTGAGAAGATCATCAGCAAGTGAGGCCTGTTTGGGAGTGATGGTGGAAGTGGAAAGAAAATCTCCCAAGTGTTTGTGTAGTGTATACAAAGCATATATACCGCAAAGTTTTTGGAGTTGATCTTTCACTCCCTTTCCAGGTATGTCTCCTTGAAGTTTCTCAATGAATCTGAAACAGGAAGGTTTTCGAGAACGATCAGTAAATGTATCGAGAAACTCGATTTGACGTTGAAAGAAACAGATTTAATGGCAATCAGATATCAGGCACGAGACGGAAAGTTCGGAACCCATTTGGTGACCATATTGTTTCACTTTTTGAAAACGTTTTCACCTCAAAGCCAATTTGTTTTTGCTTTTGAAAATTGGTCAATACCAAAAACATTGCGAGGAAACTAAAAACAAAATCATTAACAAATTGGATTTTAGCAGAACGTCTATGTATTGTTCCTGGGAAAGAAGGGTATGTGAAAATTTTTCTTGGGAAAAATCAGTCTAAAGAATCAAACTTTTAAGGATTTGATGGGTCTAACGAGGACAAAACTTACTTGGAAACAACAATCAATTGGCAATGTGCAACTGCAGCCTCAACTAAACTAGGAGAAAGTTCTTGGAAACCTGCAGTAAAACAAAGGATGATTACAAAAATCTCAACTCTGAATGGATTCGAGAATAAATCGGCATTATCACGTATATAGATGCAAATTGGTCGATTGAACAATGAGGTCGTTATTCCAGTATTTTCTAATGGGAACAGCGTAAAATAAATAGATGGTTTCAGTTTTTCAGATAAATATATTTTTATCAAGGACAGACCTTCTTCTTGATTGGTAAACTTGCTAAGTTTTTTGGCACATGAAACAGACATCCTAGTGGCCCGTGCTTCGAAAGCCTCGAGAACAACACTAGGCTTTAACCAGTCCTCAGCTGCAGGCATCAAATCAATAGAAACATTAGGGGGAAAAAGACACCAGAACCAGTATTCTTTTCTAGACTAAACCACCCTTCCAGCCCCCCAATGAGGAGCCAGGGTGTCTAAACCGAAAAATTCAAACACGTAAATCAGCATGGCCATAATTTTTAGTAAGTATTGTGGTCATGTAGGACGAACAAAAATCGTAATAGTTATCTCAATTTCAGATAAATAAATTACCTTTCTGGACATTGCTAGAGCATTCCAACAGATGTTGTGCTCGTCCCATGTAAGATATCGTCCCGACGGGCTTCTTCCCAGATGCCAACTGGGCCACAGTCTTCATGAGAATTCGTGCAACCTACATGGACAACAAAAAATTACCCCATTTAGTTAAATACCCTTGATAACAGTCAGGTGAGGAAGAATCCACAATCTTGATTCAAATACAAAAATCTGATTAACTGAAGCTGATCTGAATGGTTTCTGTTCATTTTGCTAGCAGTAATTTATTTCTATTTTCAAATATGGTATGGAGAGGAAATCATAAATCATCGCTTGAAAACTTAAAATCAGACCTGTAAAAGTAGCACAATATTGTCTCCTTCATAAGTACAGGCAGGGACATAAACTGCAAACAACTCAGGAAGCCCACTGCTACAAAGGTAACCGTGGCCACCACATAACTTCCGGCACTCCTCAATTCCATCCTAAAATCAAAATTTAAAATCAGGCTACAAGAAGAGCATGGGTGTGATCGATTATTTATCATGATGTGAATCAAACCATTAAGCTGCTTCATCTACTGTCTATACTAACAAAGATAAGTATGGGATGTCTATATATTTTTTCTAAAAATTGGGGTACTGCGTCCCGGGAGGTTTTGCCACCCCAGGGCCAGCTCTGAACCCAATACTTTATTGGGTATCTCCAAAATCCCAAGCCCTTATGACCATTACCACCAGAGCACCTCTTGGGTGACATAAGTATAGGAAATATAAGATTCAGGTCGTGAGGCCAGGAGTCATGGACAATATTTCAATTTCAGAATTGAAATTGGGAATCTTGCATTAGCATAGCTTGTTAAATCAGGAGAAAGAGTAATTAAAACTTCTGTCCAAACAGAAAACAATACACAATGATGACCAGGCTAATGAAATACAGAAAGATACTCACAGCAGTTGCAGCTGTTGTTATCGACTTCAACCCGGCAGTGCATGCATGCGCCTCGGGCAGTGTTGAGAAATCATTGGCTGCCAGTCTTTGGGTTACATCCGTATATAACCATTGTAACCATTCACCGACAAATCTGAAAGCATAGGCAGAAGCCAGCAAAGGGAATAGCCTACTTTGCTGTGTTTTATAATCAATCACCTGAAAAAAAAAACAAATGAGAATCATATTATTCGTCAGTAATATCAAAAGGAAAAATTGTGCCCTTGAGACAATTTCTTCTCAGCTTTGTTTCAAATATGGTCATAAAGGCACATTCTAGTAATGACAAACAATTAGTCAACAAGAAGACTCGACCCCGTCTGTCCCTTTATAAGGAAACGAGCATGCTCACCACTGGGCCGAGGCAACACCTTGAACTAGCATTGGATGATAAAGGAAGATAGAAACCATTAAAAAAAAAAAGCCCTAGAAAAAAAAATATACCTATCTAGATACAAAATTGATAATGAGACATAATTAATGTGACTATTTTAGCTTTGACTAATGATAAAATACAAATTTACTTTTACACTACACCTAGTGTCATCTAAACTCATATACCTGGGTTTCTACATCACCATTCTGTGATCCAAATTGTCTACGAACAGCGCTGTACCTAGTAGCAATACAGACTGCACGTGATAAGGCATTTGAAGCATCAACTACAATCGTCTTCCTCACGAATACCATAGTGCCATAAACTAGTTGTCGTGGAACATCTGATTGCACATATTTCCCTTCCCTTGTAACCTGAGAAAACCTGCAAAAGTTTATAACCAACTTTAGAAGGCTCGTTGAACTGAGATCCGTAAAACGTCAAACCCTCAACAATAAAAATTGAACAATGAGGGGGGAACCAGGAAACCCATTTCCAATAGATTAACATGAATACAATAAAAGTCTGAAGAATGATATGTTTGGACATATATGCTTGAGGAAACTAAACCTCTGCCTGACATGGAAGTTGATTATATAAGCCCCAATGAAGAAATTTTGAGATGTATAAGTGATAACCACCCTTAAAAAACAACCAAGTGTTTCATAGACTTGAAATTCAATAGTCTCATAACTACCATACATTTAAGGGCAAATGATAATCATAAACCCATATTACAACGAGTCAAGAAAATCCCAATGAACAATGAAGTCGGTAGATATCTAACTAACATACCTTAACTGATAAACAAGAAAAGAAGTGGAGAGGTTGAACAATAGTTGGGGACAGTTAACAAAGAAAATGAATAGAAAAAAACAAACAGAACCAAGAAAAAAGAGAAAAAAATAAAAAACCTCATCAACATTTGGTTCCGCGGGATGCGCACGTGATCAAATTGCATGACCCCATTATCCATAGTATTGTAAGCTGCATTCCCAAATTTCATACCAATATCTCCAATGGTTATGCCTGGTAGAATTGAGTGATCGTCCAAGCTCCTTATCTGGACTAGGAAACCTACAAGATGGAAACTTTCCAATTACACTTAATAAATCGGAATCAAGAATTAGAGGATTGAAAGTAATCATAGTTTGAATACCATGCACTCCATAGTCTTGACCATCGGTAATAAGACGAGCGAATACAACTGCATGTGTCGAAACCTTACCCAGACCCCCAGGCCACCACTGTTCACAAGCAAGAAGGAATAAAAATAAGAGACATAGAAGACAGCACATCCACATATTTAAATACAGACATTTGGTGGTTAAAACATTGTGCTAAGTGTGAGTATCAGCTGAAAAGATCAAATGACTACAGTCAGTTTGATCGGTTTCCACCATTGATCAACCAAAGGTCAATTTTGAACCCCAAAAAGAAAAAAAATTAATGGTGGTGTAGAAGATTTTGTTAGTTTAGGGACTGTATCAGTCACTATCATTTTCTCCAGAAGAAACCAATCCAACCCATTCAATCTACAACCCCAGAGGAAACAAACTCTGTGATTATGGAGGCAGAAAGATGATACAAAGTTTGCCGCAGATTCCATCCAATACAGGTAACTTCCCCTGAAACTACAACCTTAATATATAACTACCACTATATACTTACTTTGCTTGAAGTAAGTGTAGGACTATGTATAATGAATTCATCTGTCCGTTGGTCAAATGTTGCAGTTGTCTCAAGCCCTTGAACATTTGAACCGTGACCGAGTTCAGTTTGAGCATAGCAACCGATTATTTGCATCTTATACGCCAATGGCATCCACTTCTGTAGCTGCTCATCAGAACCTTGCCCTTTAAGAAATGGAACGAACATTCCCTAAAAAAAATAGAGTGAGAGAGAAAGAGAACATTAAACATAGTTAATAGTACCAAAAGTTCAGGTCCCATTTGGTAATCATTTTGCTTTTCGTTTTGTGAATTTGAAAATTAATCTTATAACATTACTATAGCAAATGAATTGCAAGAAACAGTCAAAATTAAACAGAATCTTGCTGTAAAACAAAGAGAATAAACTCAACTCACCCAGTGAAGATCTGTATATGCTGGCTCATCCACAAAGAACCTTAATCTACCAGCTTCCTCCTCTGTCAAGAAACAACACAAAATAAGGAAAACAGCCCCTGGGATTCCACATAAAGAGTTCTAACCAACAAAATCGAATCAAATATCCATACCAGAAAGTTTAAGCTCAATAATCCGCTTCCACGCATAAGCCGCTTTCCTGAGAGTGTTCTTAAACAGCTCCTTCCTGCCCAATTGGACTCTATTGTCCTTTCGAAAGACCTTTAAAACAAAACCAAACCAAAACACAGAATTCACCAAAGAAATTAACAAAGATTTCAATCACGAAATCATAACATACTCGCTCAAGCTTCAGATACCTTATAAAATTTGGATTATGGAACAGAGTACTCACCGGATCATTAGCAACTAATCGAGACATTCGATCAGATACTTCAAATGCATGACGAGAACCCGCCCAAATGATCTTCATCTCATCGACGTCGAATTGGGCGTTTCTCCTCTCATGGGAAAGATGATCCACACCCTCCATCTGTTCGACACACAAATTCGAAATCTCACTCCAAAAATGCAAAAAAGAAGCTTAACTGGGAAAGAGAGAGTGGATTTCGACAATCCCAAATCGAAAAAGAAGAAAAGCTCCGAAGAATGCTTTGGAAATTGCGAACACGCGACAAATCTCAAGCCAAATCGTGTAGTTAACTTTTGGGTATCATGGATTTATAGGGATTCTTATTCTGAATATCTCTCGAAATAAAAAAAGGCAAGGATAATTTTCCGATCCGCCCAAGTTGTCGGCGGTTGTGTTTCCCGAGAAAAAGTCTTCGTTTTGGATTTCTTTTTCACTTTCGTTTTGGATTCCTCCTCTATCATTTCAATTCTTCCTTTTTTTTTTTCGCATTTCAAACTCGTGTTCAATCCCTTTAATCCAATTATTTCATTTTCTTTATATTTTTTTTATGAGGTTATCTTGATCCACAGATTTCTCAATTGCGTTTGTGTACTTTTTCCTATAAAAATAGCCATTTTTTTAAATTTGTTTGCGGGTCAACTTATGCAATTTTCATTTAAGTTGGTCGGAATTGTTTTTTTTTTCCGTCAATATTTATGTATATTAAGAAAAAAGTCAATATTTATAATTAATTATAACTTAGTGCCCAGCCGATTTCAAAGACAAATCTTGGATTCAATTCTAAAAAATAGACTTAATTAAATTTAAATTTATCTATATTAAAATTGGTATAATTGAACGTCTGTTTGTAATTTTCTATAATTTAATCAACTTTACTGAACTTTTGATTGTGGTTTTTACAAATTTCAGTTTTATTTTTTGCATTAAAAACAGTTAATTTTGTTTATTCTATGTTTTCCGCTTAATTTTTATACAAGTTCAGATTTATCGTACTTGCAAGGATGGAATCTTCGACATAAATAGAATAACATACATATATAATTTCAAATATAACATAAAATGATGGTATAGTTTAAAATCAACTTAAATTCAAATGTAATATAAAATACAATAATTCATTACATTTGTTGTGTGCTATATTTAAAAAGTAAAAATAAAAAGTCATGATATTTATTTGAGAAATGATTTATTTCATTATTATTTTACAAAAATATACTAGTAATTTCTAATGGACATTTTTAAAAAATTTGAATATTAAGGAAAAATCAATTTCTTATCCTTAAACTGTATCGTAAAACTTTCAATTCCATCCAATTGAATCAAAGACCGAGGTAAGTGTAGCAACTTCTGCACCCTATTCAATTTATACTAATCCAACTACTAATTTTAACAAAAAGCACCGTAAACATCTAAAAAATATATGATGTAAAAAAAATCTACCAAATCCTTTAGATTTCCATTTACAAATTAAGATTAAAAAGGAATGATGTGGAGTCAAAACTTTCACTCCCTTTAATGACTTAAAATAATCTTTGAAAATTTATTTTGCCAACCAATCAATCTATAAGTAATTTTCATTAATGGCTCATTAATATACCAACCTAACACAATGGCTCATTCACGCCATCAAGTTTGATAGTTCTCTACCTGGCACACATGAATTAGTTCCTATTTAAAGTAGTACTTCAAAAGAAAAGAAAAAAAAAATAGTGCTTATCTTCAACTTAAAGTTGGATGAATAATTTTTTCCCCTAATTTTCGTTAATGGCAAAAAAAAAAAAATTAAAATTTAAAACTGGACCGATAAAAGGTATTTACGCTTTAAATTGATTTTGCTTAGACTAATTTAAAACAAATAATTCTAATTACATAAAATAAACAAATATATCCAATATCCAAAAGAAAGAAAAAGGAAAGAGAGAAAAAGAGCCCACCCCCACCCCCACTTTTGGAGTATGGTACTACCCTTAGTTATTGGTAGGAATGGCAAAAGAACCCGCGGGTCCGACTTGATTGGGATGGGGAATCCCGATCCAGTACACGGAATCAAAATTGAGTACAAATAAAAATATCTCAAAGCCAGGGGATAATTGAATAGTTTCCACACACACACATATATATATTATAAAAATATGTTCGTATTATTCATATACATGCATGAAGTCTCATAAAATAAACATAATTTTTAAATCGAGTCACTTACCTTAGTCGTGAATCCAAAAATAGTAAGAATTGACGCTAAGAATGAAGATGGTAGCTACCAAAAAAGGAAGGAAATGTTTGGAGATAATTTTTCTTACGGAAGATTTAGGCTTCACCTACTGATTCTATTTATAAAGACTATAAGACCTAATTTAAATAGGAATTCAATTTCCAATAGATTTCCTATTTATCTCTTTTTTTCCTTTTCCTTTTCTTTTTTTCTTTTTTTTTAATTATAAAAGTTGTTAATAGATATTTTAATTATCTTTTAAACTAGATCTAAACCAATCATTTAATGTTAAAACTAATAATTCTTATAGTTTATTGAAAAACATTCAAATTATCAATTTACTGCAAATAAAAAAAATAAGGAATAAAATATGAATCAAAATGATGGATTTCATACCCAATCTAATAGCTTATACCAAACAGAGAAATATACAACTCTTTCTCATCTTTCATTCTTATCCACACCCCCTCACTCAAACAAACAGCCATCATGAATTCAAATCATACCTCGTATGTTGTATTAGAAAAAAAATTATTTAAACCAATTAAAATATAACATAAACCAAACTCCGAAGCCTCATTCAGAAAATTGTTTTCAAAATAATTTTTTGTATTGATTTTCAAAATTTCTTCTGAAAACTATGAATTATGATGGGTCGAATTATAAAGATTTTGATATCATTTAATTAAATAGCATAAAATAATTATGTATTGTTTTCATACCGCCAAAAAAAAGAATAAACCAAATCAAACTTAAACTCAAACATAATATTAAACACAAAAAAAAAATAAAAATAAAAAGGAAAGGTGGAGTGAAAATGTGAATCTTTGACCTTATAAAAGATCATTTTATGTCTTAACCAGTTGAGAATGAGATATGGGATATGCTCATGTGTCAACCTGGTTTCTTTTTTTTTCATCTTTATAATTTTTTTTAGTATCCAAAATATTTTTCTTTTTTCAATTATCCA